TAGATTTGCCAATGGTTTGTCAATGTTGACAGTGTTTTCAAAGAACCAGCTTTTTTTGGGGGGGGGGTTTCCCCTAGTAGTTATTTATTTATTTATTTTATTGTGATTTGGGTGAAGATTTACAGAGCAAATTCACTCTCCATACAGCAGTTCACATATACTTTGTCTCATGTCATTGAGCACAGTTTACCACAATGCAACAGCTCCCCTCCCACTTCCTCCCTATAGTTACCTCTTCCCAGTGTCCATCCCTCCATACACTCCTGCCCCCTGAGCTGTCTCCCTGTGCATAAGAAGCCCTTCTTTCTCCCATGATTGTTCTCTCGAAGGAGTGTATCTACTTGAGGTATATGAAGAACCAGCTTTTTGCTTTTTTGATTTTCTCTATTTTTTTTTTTTTTGTTTTCTGTTTTATTTATTTCTGCTTTTTATTATTTCCTTACTTCTAGATACTGTAGTATTCTTGTGTTGTTCTTTTTCTGGTTGTTGGAGTTTAATGAGTTAGAGTGTTGATTTTGTTTCTTTCCTCTTTTTTGATGTATGCTTTTATTGCTATAAACTGACCTCTGAGTGCTGCTTTTGCTGCGTCCCATAGGTTTTGGTATGATGTATCTTCATTCTTGTTTGTTTCTAGGAATTTTTTTTCTTTCACTTTTTATTTCTTCTATTACCCAGTAGTTTTTGAACAGTTTTGGAAGTTGAGTTGTTCAACTTCCACATATTTGATGTTTTTTCCTTGATCTTCCTATTATTAATTTCTAATTTTATAGCATTGTGGTCTGAGAAGAGATGCTTTGTACTATTTCATTGTTTTTGAATTAATTGAGGCTTGTTTTATGTTGTAGCATATGATCTGTTCTGGAGTAGGATCCATGTGCACTGGAGCAGAATGGGAATTGTGCTCTTGTTGGGTGGAATGCTCTGTGTATATCTAGGAGGTCAAGTTGGTTGCCTGTGTTGTTGAGTTCTTGTGTATCTTTGTTGAGTTTTTTTCCAGTTGACCTGTCCCTTTTTGAAAGTGGTATGTTAAATTCTCCTACCACTATTGTAGAGTTGTCTTTTGTTCCTTTAATTCAGTTAATGGTTGCTCCACATATTTTGGAGCACTTTCATCGGGTGCATAGATATTTAGTATCGTAATGTCTTCTTGGTCAGTTGACCCTTTCAGCATCATATAATGGCCTTCTTTGTCGCTTATGTTGTTTTTCACCTGAAAGTCTATTTTATCAGAAATTAATATTGCTGCTCCTGCTTCTTTTTTGATCACCATTGTCTTAGTTTATTTTTCTCTACACTAAGGCTTAATTTTTTTTTGTGTGTGTGTGTCTAAGGTGGGTCTCTTGTAGGCAACATATCGATGAGTCTTCTTTTCTTATCCGGTCTGCAACTCTCTTTCTCTTGATTGGTTCATGTAGTCCATTCACATTGAATGTAATTACTGATAGTTATGAATCGATTGCTATCCTTCTATTGTGTTTTTTTATTGTGTTTTTGGAGCTTACTATTCTGGGCTGAGTTCATTTTGTTATCATGTGCTTCTTCTCTTTTCTCCTTTATTGGTTTTGTGCTTATTAAACCCATATGTTTTTTTTCCTTCTGGATTTGCTTAGGGGGATTGTTAGTTTTATCTGTGGTTACCTTGGAGTGAATTCTTGTCTCAACATTTTTGGAACAGTCTGTTCTATGAGGCCATTGTCCTTGTTTCCTTTCCATTTGGAAATTTGTACCCAGAACTTTTATTCCTTCTATTTGGTTAGTTGCTATTGTTGTGTGCAGATTTGCTTCCTTGATTTTAGTGTACAGTGGTTTTATTTTGAATACCTGTTTCTGATTTGGTTTTAGTGTTTATGTTATGTATCCTGATTTTGTAGTTCTCTGTTGTGGGTTCTCAATTGAAAGAACTTCTTTAAGCATTTCTTACAGGGTTTGCCTGGTTTTCACAAAATCCCTTAATTTCTGTTTATCTGAGAATGCCTTGATTTTTCCCTCATATTTGATGGACAATTTGACTGAATATAGGATTCTTGGTTAGAAGTTCTTTTCCTTCAGTGCTTTTTATATATGCCCTCCCATTGCGTTCTTGCCTGTATGGTTTCTGCTGAATAATTGCTCAGTCTAACTGATTATTATAAGTAATATTTCTTTTGTCCTGGGCAGCTTGCATAGTTCTTTCTTTGTCTTTGGTTTTGGAGAGTTTGATTATGATGTGCATTATGATACGTTTTTCTCATGGGATCTATCCTGTATGGGGGTTCTATGAGCTTCTTGGACAAATATCTTTTCTTCCTTCATGGTATGGGGGAAGTTTTCTGTTAATATGTCTTCCACAATTTTCTCCGTGTTTTTTTCTGCCTCCTCTTGTTCTGGAATTCCAATGAGGCATATGTTGTTTCTTTTCATGTTGTCCCATGTAACTCTTAGGTTCCCTTCATTTCTCTTAAATCTTTGTTCTGATTTTCTTCATACAGGCTGTTGTCCAGGGATTTGTCTTCTAGTTGGGAAATACATTCTTTAGCCAGTTCTGTCCTACTCTTTTGTGCTTGCACTGCATTGTGGAATTCTGTAATTTTGGTGTTTGTCTTCTGGATTTCTAACTGCTGGTTTTGTATGAGTTCTGATTGTGCATTAATCTTGTTATTTTGTTCTTGAATGGTTTTCCTGAGTTCTTCCAGGCAACTGTTTGTGTTCTCCTTGCTTCTGTTTGGGGTTTCCTTGTAGAGTTCTATAAACATACCTTTTAAATTCCTTCTCAGATAATTCTATTTCCTCCTCTTCCTCCTTGTTTAGTGAGACTTTTGTTTGGGATTTTACTTCTAATGTCTTATCCTGTTATTTATTTATTCATTTATTTTTGGATCTGAGGTTGCCTGTTGTTTCCTATCCTAGACATTTTGAGGCTGTCTTTAACTGTTGGTTATGTATTGATTTCTTTTGTCTTGGTTTTATGATTTAATATTTTGAAAAGGTGGAGCTGGTATATTTTATTTTTTGGCTATTAATTCAGGTGTGCTGGGTCGCTCTGACGTTTTCTTTGTGATGATGTAATTGTTGTGTGGAATGTGGATGCAGATCTCTGTTTGTCGTATAGCAGTTTAGGACTCAAGTCGGCAGGTATTATGGTGGCTGAATGTGGTTTTTCCATTGGATGAGTCAGGGTAGAGGTGGAAGAAATGGAAGGAAAAGAGAGAACAAAGGAAAGCTCCAAGGTGCTAGGAACAGTTTCTAGGGCTTTGAGTGGGCTGCTAATGATGTTATACTGTTACTCACAGGCCTGCAGCTCAAGTTCAGGAAAGACTCCAATTGTTAGGGGGCACCACTCTCTGCCAGGTTCAGAACATGCAAAAACCCTGCCCTTCAGACCCCTCCATGGCAAAAAGCTGACCTAGGTAATTGCTCTGATCCACGATCCGCGACAGGTGTTCCTCCCAGGGCCCTCCCACTTGTGGCATTAATGTTCTCTCTGCTCCTGCTTCAGCAGTACCAGAGTCAGCGAAATCTCTGCTCCCACCCAGCGATCCCATGTTTACCGATATAAAAGCAAGTGCTGAAGGTAAATTCGTGGAGTGGCCGTAGGTTCTCTGGTGTGGTGCTTTCTCTCCAATGACCTAGCGAGGTCTCTGATGGCCTTCCTCGCCTGCCAGTCGGTGCTCCGCAGGGCAGGTTCACCTGTTTTTGTTATATTTTTTCCCTCTGGGTAATTGCACCGCCTCTTTCTCCTTTCTAATCCTACTCCCCTGAGTTTGGTGTACTCTGACTTAATGAGCTGTTCAGAGCACCAGAATCCACATTTTAAACTGCTTCACTTAGTTTTTCAGGCACTAAGATGCTAGAGGGAACTAGCGTGGGCACTACAGGAGAGACATCATTTTGCCTATTTTTCATATATTGAACCATCCTTGCATCCTTTTTATGCATCCCATTTGATCATGATGTATTATTTTAATGATATGTTGTTGGAGTCTGTCAGCTTGAGTTTTGTTTAGAATTTCTGTATCTGCGTTCATGATGGATATTGGTCTATAAATTTCTTTTTTAGTGGTGTCTTCATCTTGCTTTGATCTCGAGGTTATTCTCACTTCATAAAATGAGGCTGGGAGTATTCCCTCTTTTTCTATATTCTGAAATAGTTTGAGTAGAATTGGTGTCAGGTCTTCTCTGAATGTGCAGTAGGATTTGCTAGTGGAGCCGTCTGGGCCAGGACTTTTTTTTGTCAGTAGTTTTTTTTTATGACTTGTTTAATTTCTTCTTTTGTTATGTATATATTCAAATTTTCTACCCTCATCTGTTTTAGTTTAGATAGGTAATGTTTTCTCTAAATCTGTCTCTTTCTTCTAGGTTTTTAAATTTGTTGGAATAAAGTTCTTCATAGTATCCTGTTAATATCCTTTTTATTTCAGTTAGTTCTGTTGTGATGTCACCTATTTCATTTGTTATTCATGTCATTTACACCTTCTTTTTCCTTTCATTTATTAAATTTGTCATTTTTATTAATCTTTTCAAATCAACTTCTAGTATTATTTATTCTTTCCCTTATTTTTCTGTGTTTTTTTTCTTCCAGTTATTTCTGCATGAATCTTTCTCATGTCTTTTCTCATTTTTTGGTTGACTGTAGGCTTATTTTGCTGCTTTTTTTCTAATTGTTAGAGATGTCAGGTTAAGGTGTTGATTTTCTAGTTGATTGCCAAAATGTTTAATTTTTTATGTATCTTTGGCTATGTACTATTTGAATTGGGTAGTTAAAGATGATCCTAAATTAAAACAAGTAATTATGTGGTAAAATATGTTTGAATTTTAAAAGGGATGTATTCCCATACAGCATTGTCTTTGTTCCAGAAAAGTTGAAATGCCTATAAATATGAACACGATTGTAGAGAATTAATATTGGGAGAATATTCTAAATTTAATATTAAAATAGAGAAAATAAAGTTAGCAATAGAAAGTATTTTTCTAAATTAACCTGAATAATCTTTTTTTTTTTATGTATATTACTTTCATTACAGAAGTGTCATCATTGCGACAAAAAAATCGGCAGTGTTACCTTCCACACCAAGTACAAGTATACCTACCAATGCTGTTAGTGTGGTTTCTTCAGTAGATTCAGCCCAAGCCTCAGATGTTGGAGGAGAGTCACCTGGTGAGTTAGTTAGCAGTGATTAAAACAAACAAAACTTTTTACATTCCATTTTAGCAAAGTTCAGTGATATTTATAAAGTTAAATTTTGTTAGTCATGTTAAAAACAATTGTACCTGTATATTATGCTGTTTATTGTTTACTAATTTGTGGAATAAATTTGATTGAGTATACTTTATGTTTAATATCACATAGGTTAAAACAAAGAATTCACTATTTTATAGTTGAAAACATGCTAGTATGGGATGGATGGATGAATACATGAATTAATGATAGTGTTATAAAAATACTTTCTCCCCTTTTTTTCTTTCCTTACACATGAGAAGATGTGTACACATAATTTATATATAAGAAAACTTGGTGACATATAGTCCTTTATTCTGGATATCAGTGATGAGCTGTTTATGTAATATCCCTGACTTTATTTTCTCATGAATATTTTTCTGAAGTGGAGGCTTGGAAAGGATATTAACAGGATATTAACAGGATACTATGAATGCTGCCTGGACTATATCATTCTCCTACTATTCATCCTGGACCAGTAACAATAATAACAGTTTTATTTCTGTCCATCTCGCCTACATTTTTTCCAAATGTGAAAAGCCTATTGATGTGTGTATCTGAGTACAAGATCCTATATCTCTGTATGTTGACTGGAAGCTTAGAGGTGATATTAGGTAAACTTTGAAGTTTGCACAGTATAAAAATGACCAAGTTAGTACGGAGGGGATGCTATTTTTTATCTTTAGTATTTTTTTTTTTTAATTTGTTCATTGAAAAAAATTAGTAACAGTATAATATCCTCAAAAAGAGTCATCTGATCACTGTAGATCGAGGCCAATAAAAATTCAGGGAATTTGACTAAGTGCATTTTATTCAGATCGGAAGTAATGTTTTCACTTCTTCTGTTATAACATCTCAGGCAAAGTTTTATAAACTTGTGCACCTTAGAGAGTTTTGCTCCAAACTTGATAATGTTGCTTGGCAATAGTTAGGGATGTATTGTGTGTATGTAATAGAATTTTGTCTTTTGAAGAGATAAGAAATAAAGAAAGCTCAAATATTCAGGTAATATTTGATAGAAATTAGTAGAATAAATTTCTTTCGGAAGCTATTGTGTTTTTTCAGTATGTTATAAAATGCTAACTAACCCTGAAAAAATGTATACAGAGTTAAAAAATAATTTGCTGCTTTGAATATTCTTGTATTCATTGCCAAAAACAAGTAGACCAAAACAAACCCCAGTTCACCAAATATGTTTTACTGATCCAGCCCATAATATGCATTTTTTCTGTTACTTAAATTTTGTATAATTTGTAGAAGACTTGTTTCTCAAATGATTTCCTAATTTTTTCCATTTTCTAGCTTAAGTTTTTAGCTTTTTCTTCCCCCACTATTATTTATTTAAATAGTTCATTCCTTTTTCAGTCACTTTCAGTATTCTCTTGTTACTGTTATATGGTGTCTCTATTTCAGTGTACTGTTCTATTCCATTTTCTTTATTCTTGCCAAGAACATTACCAGTTTGATAAGAAAAACAGAATCTAGTGTTTTCAGTCTTTCCTCTTTATTTCTTACTCTCCTACAGACCTATTTTGCATGCATTTTCATACCATAGTGCCCTTGTACATCTGTGAACTAGTTTCACTTGGAATCCAAAGCTCACAATTAAAGTTATCTTTTCCTGTTGAGTGTTACTAACTAATAGGTTTTTTTTTTCTTTCCCCTTCTTGATGAATCTCTTGATCTATTACTCCGTTGCCATCAAAAATAAGTAAATAGAAAAAAATTTATTTTCTTTCTTCCTGGTTCAAGCAGCATTTGGGAAATGATTTACACATTAATTGATTGTTAAAAATGCATGCTGAGCAGGGCAGTATATTCTTGCAGATCTGGGAAAGTTAGTTGAGTCTTGGTACAGTGTTGGATTATTTTCTTTATATGAAAATACAGTTAATACCTGTTGTGTGGACCTTAAGGAATCCCTGGATTGTACAAACACTCACGTGCTCAGCCACTACTTGAAAGGGTGGTGGTTCGAACCTATAACAAGATGCCTTAGAAGAAAGACCTGTCAGTCTGGTTCCACAAGGTTATAGCCTTGAGAACTCTGTTGCAGTTCTGCTCTGCACACAAGTGGGCTTTCCATGAACCTGAGTTGCCTGATAGCATAGTGGCTAAGACACTTGCCTGCTAACCAGACGGCTGGCGGTTCAAACCCACCAGCCACTCCTCGGAAGGAAGGTTGGGCAATCCTACTTCCGTAGTGATACTGCCTCGGAAACCCAAGGAGGGGTCGCTATGAGTCGGGGCCGACTCGACGGCACATAACAACAACAACAACAACAGAGTTGCCTGAATGGCAACTGATTGGTTCTAAACTTTGAACTATAGTGTCTTAGGACACTCATGGTTCTTAGTTTTATAATGAGTTATCTACAAAAATCTACTAAATTTCAGTAGTAGAGTTGTTATGGTATATATTCATCTCATTGCTGTCGAGTCGGATCTGACTCTTAGCAACCCCTCCTTGGGTTTCTGACGCAGTGTCATTATGGAAGTAGATTGCCCAACCTTCCTTCCAAGGAGTGATTGGCAGGTTTGAACCACAAGCCTTCTGGTTAGCAGTCAAATGATAGTATATAGTATTAGTAACAGAAATCTTCATTGAAATAATATAAATTATGCATTTAATAACAGAAAGATTTAAACCTTTTGAAAATTTGAAATCAAAATGGATTTTTTAATTTTTTCCTGTTGTAAAATGAAAGACATCAAGACTATGATAAATTCTCTAGCCCATAAAGTTAAAAGTCATTAACTTTATGTGAGGTTAAAGTGTGTGAGGTCAGACTAAGTATATGTAAGCTTTGTTGAAATGTTAACCAATAAAACCTCACTGCTGTCAAGTCGATTCAGACTCATAGCAACCTCCATTGGGTGGGATCCTGAGGCGGTGAATCTTTATGGAAGTAGATTACCCCATCTTTCTTCCATGGAGTGCCTGGTGGATTTGAGCCACCAAATTGGTGGTTAGCAGGGAAATGCCCTAGGCACTATGCCACCAGAGCTCCTGCTAGCACCCAAATAATTGCATATTTTTAGTATAAAATTTGAGGATTTGTACACTTGTATTTTGGGAGCTCTGGTAGCCTAGTGCCTAAGGCATTTGACTGCTAACCAGAAGGCTGGCGGTTCAAACCCACCAGCCACTCCTTGGAAGGAAGGTTGAGCAATCTACTTCCGTAGTAATACCACCTTGGAAACCCAAGGAGGGGTTGCTGTGAGTTGGATCTGACTCCATGGCAATGGTTGCAGTTGTTGTGTTAGATTTGTATTTTTATTATATAAGTTTTTTTTTTTTTTTTAAGTATACAAACCTCAAATTTTAGTTCAATTAATGTTCTTTAGCTTCTGCGTATAATTGCAATAATGACAAATCTTCTTAATAAGTGGTAAACTACATGCATCAAAAAACAGTTTATACCATGTGTGCTCATATTTTCAAAGAAAACTAGAGGAGAAAACAGGATTTTAGTAAATGTATCATTAATTGGTGGCATAGTGGGTAAGTCATTGGCTGCTAACCAGAATATTTGCAGTTCGAACCCACCAGCTGCTTCATGGGAGGAAGAGGAGGCAGTCTACTTACAGCCTTGGAAAGCCAGTAGGAGTCGCTATGAGTCAGAATTAACTCAATGACAATGTACTATTTTTTCCAAAACATTCAGTATTTGGGAGTTTTAAAGTTACTCAAAAGATTTATTAGCTTAATATGCTTTCTCTATATTTAGATGATGTTACTCTTTCAAATATACTACAGTCTTTTTCTATCATGCTGTGAAGCATAAATGATTCAAACGTGATTGACGCTAACCCAATAAAGAAAATAAATAGAGTAATCTATGTGGTGGGTGTTTGCTAATTTGTAAAATTTAGCTTTTCTATTTACTAGGATATCAATTTCTATTTTGTTCATGAACATTGTTAATTAGTTAGGGTTTTTTTTTTTTTTTTGTTTAAATATTTAAGCAAAATATTTGATGCATATAGTCTTTGCTTTATATAAAATTTGGCCCCCAAAACTTACCTTTACTTGTTCAGTAAAGTTTCATTTGTTTACTGAGGACTTTTTCCTGGACATACAGACTAACATTTGTTGAGCTGGTCCAGGTTGGAGTGAGTATGTGTGTAAAATACAGACATGCAGTGTTAGGGATTAAATATTGGCATTTGTTTTAATGATACTTTAGTGTAAGGGACATTATTTTTGTAGACCTTTGGGAGCCTTGAATAAACAATTGCCTGTTCCCTGAAAAGGTGTTGGACAGATAATCTATTTGCATTTTCTTTTTGGTTTTTTGAAATGTCTGGAAAACGATCATTTTGAAAAAGCCAGTTTATCAGTGCAAGGATAAGGAAAAGATAAGTCAATATCATTCCACATGTTGGCACTAGGTTCTTCATTTATATGTGTGATCATGTTTTGGAATTTTTTTTTTTTTTAATTATGATTTGGTTGAAAGTTTACAGAGCAAATTTACTATCCATACAACTGTTCATATACACTTTGTCTCATGACATTGACTACAGTTTACCACAATGCAGCAGCTCCCACTTCCTCCCCATAGTTACCTCTTCCCTGTGCCCTTCCCTCCATGCACTCCTACCCCCTGAGTGGTCTCCATGTGCATACATAGCCCTTCTATTCTCCCATGATTGTTCTCTTCAAGGAGTGTATCTACCTAGTGTAAATGTTCACCTCCTATGCTTGTCTTTTGTTTGGCTGGAATCCACAGGTGTGAGTTCATTTCCAGACCTGAAGGTCAGCTAGGGGCTGTAGTCTCAGGGGTTCCACGAGGCTCTATCAGACTAGCCAACCTAGTCCCTTTTTTTTTCCAAATGATTTTGAGTTTTGTTCCACATTGTCCTCCCACTCTATCCAGGATCTCCACAAAGATCCCTGTCCGAGTGGTTGACAGTGGTAGCCAGGCACCATCTAG